CCTCTGGGAGACCGTGAAGTAAGGCCGTTGCGGCGGCGATGTTTTGGCTCGCCCGAGCGAAGTGTGGGAGAGCCCCATCGTCGGTGAGGATCCTTTGGTGTATAGCCTGGGCAGTGGTGCATGCGCGCCCACCATCTCCGTGGCGTCTAATCTCCTTATTGACTTTCTCGTATTCCCGGACAAGCTATTGCCCGGCTTCAGCGATCTCCTCCCTTCGGGCTCTTAGCTGCTCCACCCCTACGTGGGGCGGGGCGGCTGCTCCTCTTTGGGTTGCCCCGGCGAGGTCGAATGCGGGGGTAGTCTCCTCCCCGGAGACGCTTTCGACGTGTCCCTCGGGGGTTTGCGTCACAAAGCATTCCCGAGAAGGACGATGGCTCCCCCTGCTAGAGTTGGAGCTAGAGGATGACTCTGGCTCTTCGGTGAGGAGTTTGTGGAGAGACTCCATGTCGTGTTCAATCACCCCCACGAACTCGTTGTCCGCGGGTGTTAGAACCATGCGTAGTGCCAGAAGATGGCTCGCGGTCGCCGCGGTGTTGCGGAGACCGAACGGAAGCGCCGTCGGGGCGCTCCGTACGTGTCGTTTCGGAGAGATGTGTCTCTCTCCAGAAGGTCGCGCCATGCTGTCGCCGTTGGCAATGGCGAGGCGATGCTGCTTCTCCCTGGACTCCCATGGTCCATGGGAGACGTCGAGCTGACGCCCAAGCCTCTCATGGTAAAGGCCGTTGGAGGGAAGAGATTGGATGGCGGCGTGCGACCATGACAACTCTCCTCCCCCCGCAACGATGAAATCCAGGCTCCCAAAATGCACGTGTGCGCCTGGGACCCAGCTAATGTCATGGTTAGCCATCCGCGGCCTGGTTTGGAACGCGCAGAAAGCTCCCCCTACCGGCGAAGTTAACCGTCGGTGTTTCAACAAACACCGCGAGTAAATTTGTAATTGATGCGCGTTAGGTCTCGGATGGTGCGCTAAAGGACACAAGGGTTATACTTGGTCGGGCTGAAAGTCCCTACGCCCGATCTGTTGTCGCTTGTGTTATTAGCACCGAATGAGGTTCGTAGTAGGGGTACAAACGGTTGGGAGAGGAGAGACCCCAAGTCCCCGATGGAGTGATTGGAAGGACGCCAAGAGCTCTGCTGGCGCCGCCGTGGTGCGTGTGTGTGTGTGTGCTAACCGATCGTAATCGGTTGATCGATCCCTTAGTGGGGAGCCCCGCCGCCCCTTTTTATAGATCAAGGGGAGCAGGGGGTTTTTCTGAGATGGGGAAGAAGAAAACACTAAGAGCATAGAAGGTCCTTCAAGGAACCCGGTCCTTCCTTCTTCTTCCCCACGCCTGGTCCGCCCATCATGGCGATCGTGTGGATTGAGGCGATTGTAGACCGTCGTGGGCCATGCCACGGCCACTATTTAGCAAGTGGTACGTCCCGGCCCCGCCCGTGGGCGGCGTGTCGGACAGATTTGCCGAGCCCCGACCCCGTGGGGGCCTGGAGGCGGTGACCGCTGGTTTGCCCTTGGAACGTAGTGGTTGTCGATGTCACGCCGGGTTCTTCGTCTCGGAGGTGAAGGCGCGCCACAACACTGTTTTGCTGCTCGCCACGCCCGGAGGGGTCCAAGCGCTCGCTGGTCACATCTCGACGGTACTTCCCACCGCAGGGTGCAGGGGCATGGCGTCTAACGTTATGCGGTTGACCCGAACGTCTTGTCTTACCCTGCAATCGTCATCATGAGGGTACAGGGCGCGGTTCGTCAGGTGAGACTGGGCCAGCCTCTGGCTATCGGGCGAGGCGAGATTCGTCATTGGTCGTTCGGATGAGGTAAAAACCTAGTTTTTACCCGCCGGGCGAAGCGGAGTTGTCCCCCGGCCGTCGAACGGGGCCGAGCCCAGCCCTCGGGGGTCGAGCGAGGCGGTGCGCATCCCCTGGGGGTCGGGTGAAGCCGAGCCCAGCCGTTGGGCGAGGCGGAGTCGCCCTCCAGCCGTCGGGCGAGGCGGAGTCGTCCCCCGGCGGGTCGGGTGAAGCCGAGCCCAGCCGTCGGGCGAGGCGGAGTCTCCCTCCAGCCGTCGGGCGAGGCGGAGTCGTCCCCCGGCGGGTCGGGTGAAGCCGAGCCCAGCCGTCGGGCGAGGTGGAGTCGCCCTCCAGCCGTCGGGCGAGGCGGAGTCTCCCTCCAGCCGTCGGGCGAGGCGGAGTCGTCCCCCGGCGGGTCGGGTGAAGCCGAGCCCAGCCGTCGGGCGAGGTAGAGCGGGTTCCAAGGGCACATGGGCGCTCGGGCGAGGCGGAACAAGACTTCCGCTTGGTCGGGCAAGAGATGTAACCACGCTTTCGGGAGTCCTTACCGTTCTATGGTTCATTGATTCCTCCTCTTTGGGGTACCCCGGTATTAGGTCCCCGACAATGGTCGTCTTAATGTGGGTACAAAGATATCCAAGATTAGAAAGTTGCATGGTTCAAGCATCGCTTGTAATGGTAAATATATAAATAGGTGAATTATAATGATGTTTTTTTTAATCATGATATTTGTAATGGTATGGTTTGAACTAACCCTTTACTCATAGTATGATCGACATCGATGAAACCACAATGGAAGGAAACAAAGGCCCCGTTCGTTGGTCTGAAACTTGGCTGAAAAACACTGTTCCGGCTGGTTTGTTGTGAGAGAAAAACATTGTTCGGCTGATTTGGTAAACAGTAAATCGTGAGGGGGAGCAACCGGCTGGCTGGTCTTTCCAGACCAGCGAATGGCCCCAAAGACATGAAACCACAATGGAAGGAAACAAAGACATACCATAGCTCAATGCCATAATCATCTAGGGGGGAAAGTTTAATCAAACAGTATCACCATATAAGAAATGTCAATGAAGACATCAATCAATACGCATGATATATGATTGAATGGTAGCTGATTTGGTGTGAAAGAAAAATACTGTTCGTTGGCTTATAAAACAAACACGACCAAACGAATAGGCTGATAGGCTGCGACTCCATATATCCAGGTCATGGCTCCTGCCAAATATATAACAGCAAGACGTATCTCGCAAATGGCTTTACCGTGAACCTACTTCAATAAAAAACATTAATAAAGTCATATATCCAACAGTAGTAGCCATGTGAGCGAAAACATGCGTGAAAGATATATTTTAAGAGCAAGGCTAATAATGCAGTCGATTTCTGGCTGATCATATAGCAGTTAGCTCTTCACTGTTAATACATAGCTCACTTATCTCTCTCATAAAGTTTATTGATTATTTTGTCCAAGCTCTAAGCCAGCTATAAGCTTATAACCTATTTCTCCTCTCTCTCATCTCCTCTCCCCTTCACCCAGCATTTATCTGCTACAGGTTGTTATTATACTTGCTTTAAGTTGTAGTACGTTTGAACATCACGATAGCTATGCAATTTATTACGCGAGCGACTTGGCTAGTTATTATTTACATTTTGCATTTACTTATGTGTATTTGATTGAGTGACCTACTTTTCTAAAATCACATATGCAGATTTAGTCTGGTTTTTAAAAGGGCGCAAATTTTTTGTGTAGTAAAAATAATAACACATAAAAGAAACTTTGGTCATCACGTGTTAGTCCGTTTTTATCCCTATTATTATCTGTTTATAGGTTTTAAGAATTGGATGTCTGGGATTCATGACTGAGCCAGATAACTTTGTCTTGATTCACACTAAACAAGTCCTTAGACTGTCCCAGGGACCCTCACCCAAATACGAGATGCCTTCCTTCGTTTGGGTCTCGCGGTAAAAAAAGGTTCACGCGTCCAATCCTTCCGGTTTCGAACAGCAGACCAAAAAAAGGAGAGCCCCCGAGCAGCCGAGCCTTCGAGCGCCGAGCAGATCCCGCTTCACCGACGACGACCCGGAGCCCTGCGGCCCCGCCTGCCGATCATGAGCTCGTCGACGTCCTTGCCTCGACCACCGTCGCACCGCGCCACCGAGCCCAGCGACCCCGACGCGCCAAGCCCTCGCGCCGCGCCCGCCGCCTCGGTCGACCGCTGCTGAGGAGCCCTGGCGACCCGCCTTGCTGCTGCTCGCGGGGCCTTCCCGCGCGGCCTCCTCCCTCCCTCCCTGAAGAAACGCTGGCGAAAGCACGACTCGGATCCCGGCCGGCGAAGCCCTCCCTGCATTGCCTCCCTCCTCCGGCGTTCCCTCCCTGCGAGATCCGACGAAGGCTGGGCGCACCACCGCGAGCACCTCCTCCCCCCACGCGGGCGCTGCTCATCACCGGCGGCGGGGAGCGGTCCCAGATCCGACGAGGCAGCCAAGGCCGGCGGACCCTTTCTCCCATGGCCATAGCCATAGCCATAGCTAGGAAAGGCGAGGCGAGGACCATCTCGTTCCGTTCCTTGCGCGTTTGGGACGGGGGCGAGCTGAGTTCACCGAGGTGACGCCGCTGCAGCTCCGATCCGAGCGAGCAAGGGATCTATCAGAATCTTCATCAGCCGTTGCAGTGGTAAGCCCCAATCAATCCCTTCATCGTCTCATCTAGTAAGTAGTATCCTGTAGTCGGGCAAAGCAAATGACTTGTTGCTGCAAAGTATGCTATTTTAGCATAGCAGCATCAGAACGGACCAGCAGTGGAGGAAAGCCAATCTCCTACGTCAGAGGTCGGACGCAAATTCTTACAAACCAGCCTGTATAAGCTGACCATGTCTTCACACGAACCAAAAAAAAAAAATACTAGGTAATTAATATTTTCTATTTGTCCGATTAATTGTCTTGTCTTGCAAATACTAGCAAGTAGCAAGTGACCCCTTCAGTTTTTGCCTTGCAAATTAAACAGATGACATAATTAAGCCGCTGGCAGTTGGGTGCATCTGACATCACCAAACCTCTGTCTTAATTACTTCCCTTCCTGTAAGTCCCTGCCTCGTATTGTACTCCTATGTAAGCTAAGATTGACCTGCAAGTTTCACATTCTCCAAATGATTGTTAGGGATTATTGATTTCTCTAATGCTCAAAGCGTCCGTTATATTATTTTTGTCCAGGACAAGCCAGGATGAGCCTATCCAAGGCTATTGGAGTCATTAGTGGCATCAATGAGTTTGGTAACTTGTTCCAGTTGGTCACATCTGCTGTCTCATATATGCGTTCCAAGTGGAATGGATCACAGGAGAAACAACAACTTAAGCAAGAAGATCTACTGCAGTTGCAAAGTGACCTTCAACGCCTTACTGATACTCTACCGGCAATGTACAACCTCATTGATCGAGCAGAGTGGAGGATCCATGTACCCTCTGTGGCACAGCTCCTTCCAAAACTCAAGGATGCAGTGTATGATGCGGAGGACCTTCTGGATGAGTTCAGATGGTATAAGCTCAAGCTGGAAATTGAGGGCAATAACGATGAATCCCAGATGTCTCCTCTCATTGACTTCTTTCACAGTGTCACTCATGGAAGCTTCAACAAAGTGACTGATATACAGACCAGGTTAGGTCATCTTTCTGCCCAGCTTGAGAAGATGGGCATGCATGAGGCAACTCCACGGTTTGACAAATCGGTCAGGCCACCAACAACATCTTTCCGTACTGAGCCAAACATACTTGGTCGAGACAAGGAACTGGAGGAGGTGATGAGATTGCTTGGTGTACCAGCACCAGACCATGGTAGCAGTAGCAGGTGCAGGTCTACTTCCAAACGGAAGAGAACCGCTTCTAGTGCAGCCGATAGTACTGAACCAATAAGGATACCATCTGTTCCTGTTTTGCCAATAGTTGGGATCGGGGGTGTTGGAAAAACTACTTTGGCCCAAGAGATTACTACACTTCCAAGTGTTAAATCCCACTTTGACAATAATATCATTTGGATTTGTGTCTCGGATGACTTCGATGAGGAGAGGTTTACTAAAGTTCTCATAAAATCTCTATCTAGAAAAGAGGCAACGGCCGATAATTTGGATGATCTTCAACAAGTTCTTGCTGAAGAAGCTGGGAAAAAAAGATTCTTGCTCATCCTTGATGACATTTGGCCTGCTGCCTTGAATGATGGGCAGCGTTGGAGGAAATTTTGTGCACCTCTCACAAAAGTACTTAAGGGAAGTATGTTGTTGGTGACCACTAGGTTTGCAGAGGTTGCTGATATAGTGGGCACGATGGAGTCCTTTGTATTGGAAGGCTTGAAAGAAGATGTATTTTGGGATTTTTTCAAACTGTGCGTGTTTGGGTCTGAGGATTCTCACATTGATCCACAGTTAGAGCAGATTGGTAAGAGCATACTTGTAAAGCTCAAGGGTACTCCTTTAGCTGCCAAAACTATTGGAAGGCTTTTACGAAAGAGCCTTACCTCTGCACATTGGAATGATATACTAAACAACGAACTATGGCAGATTGAACAAAAGGAAACAGACATTTTGCCAGCTCTTCGGTTGAGCTACATGTATTTACCTTTCCATTTGAAGAGATGCTTCTCATTTTGTTCTGTATACCCCAAAGATCACAATTTTAAGAAGGCTATTCTAGCTGAAATTTGGGTGGCAGAAGGATTGGTGGAACCTCAAGGTAGCATTCCACTTCAACATATCGGTGAGCAGTACTTTGAAGACCTTGTAAATTTGTCCTTCTTCCATAAACTCCGTGGTAAATATGTGATACATGACCTGATGCATGACATGGCACTTCTAGTATCCAAGGACGAGTGCTTCATTGTAAAGAATACAAGTGGGATAGAAAAAGTTCCTCCAAATGTTCGCCATCTGTCGATACTATCAAGCAGCGGTGTTAAGTGTTCTGACTTAATGTGCCTGGGCAAGCACACAAAGCTGCGCACCCTGCTTTGCAGCAAGTATTTCAGGAGTCAGACTTCTTTTGTGATGGATCGCTGGTTTGTTGAACTTGGGTGCCTGCGTGTTTTATTTTGTGCCTTCGAAATGAAACAATTACCAGAGAGGATAGGCAATCTGAAACATCTCCGATACCTTGGAATCTCCAGAAATCGCCGTTTCAATGAAGTTCCTTCATCATTCTGGAGCCTCTATAACTTGCAGATTTTGTATGCCAGGAAATGCACATTTGAAAGATTGCACATAGGTGCCAGTAAGCTGATCAATCTGCAAAAGTTTGAATCACGTATCCTTGAAATGAAAGTTGATGCTAAGGAGTTGGGAGAGCAAATTGGGTTCATAAACAGTTTTCCAGATATAAAAGATTTGGTTATACATAACCTAGGCGCAATAAGCAAGGATCATGCAGCAAAGGTGGAACTTAGGAAGAGGAAAGATCTTACTAGTTTGACTCTGAGTTGGTTTTCATTCATATCTCCAGAGCACAATGAGATAGAAGTGCTTCAAGCACTACAACCTCCAACCAGTGTGGAATCTGTGCACATCGAGGGTTATCAAGGTGAATATCTTCCAAGCTGGTTTTCTGGCTCCGATGGACTCAATGCCATCGACCTTGAAGAACTGAAGGTGTACAATTGTCCAAACATTACACATCTTCTGCTGGCGCTGTCCATAAGAAAACTCGAACTGAATTGCAGTTCCCTCACCATCTTGCATCTATCATGTGACCATCTGGCATCCATCGACCTACAAAAGTGGAGCCTTCCAGTGCTACAGGAGCTCAAGATCAGTAACTGTCCATGTCTGATATCTATTAGAGTCGGGGTGGCCACTGACCTTTACCTTGGATGCAGCACTGGGAAGTTCCCGTTCCTCACTCACCTAACTGTCGAACACTGCTACAAGCTGGAAACTCTTGATGACCTCCTAACACATGAACATCTCCCTGCCATCAAAGATCTGACCATTTTGTTTTGTCCACGGCTCAACTGGCAAAGTGGAATGATGTTGCCGTCCTCCATCCAAAAGCTCAATTTATTTGAATGTGGGAATCTCTCTCGCAGCTGCCTGGGGAGCCTCACATCGACATCCCTGCAACCACTAAGTGGCTAACTGGAGTGGAGTATTACCTCCCTCACTCAATGTTTTCTTCTAAGTCAAACAAGTTGTCTTATGTTTGGTCAGGTTTATAGAACAGGAGTATTTACATTTATTTATGACACCAAATAAGTTTGCTGAAAGTAAATTCTTCCATGTATAGCTAGCTACACTGTACTGTGGTTCTTATAAAAAACAAAATGAAGAGAGATTGATTCTGCATCCTGCTAAGGTACGTTCCTATACACCGTACGTACACATGCATAGTTCATGGTACATTACCTGCGGCGCACGTACGCGTGTCGATTGCTACTGGTACACAGTTACATACAAATAAATTATATATATGTAATAACAAGGTATTATATATAGAAAGCTGGATCGATCGAGCTAAAGGTTGCATTGCTAGCTTCATAAGGAGGCGACGGATGGATCACTCGTCGATCGATCTTGATGAAGTCGATCGTACTTGCCTTCCTGGCCTTTCTTGCCGCCGCCAGCCTGCAGCCCCGTGTTGCCGGCGTCGTCTCCAGCTAGCGTTCCTCTACGCGTCGCCGTCGGCCTTGGTGGGGCTGCCGCCGGCGGTGGGGGAGCCCCCGCCGCCGCCGTGCTTGGAGCTGGTGGGGTGCTTCTTCTTGGCGCCGGCGCGCCAGTTCTTGAGGGCCTTGGAGGTCTGCTCGTCGAAGATGGACTGCTTCATGGTGGAGCCCATCTGGGAGACGAGCGCGTAGAGCGGGAGCGTCACGTAGCTGCACAGCACCTGGACAACCACCCTGCATGCATATATGTCATTCCACTGCATCTCATCTGCATCCATGCATCTCAGATCAGATTCTCATGATACGTACCCAAGGCAGAGGCGTGCAAAGACGAATTCTTTGGGAGTCGTTGAAGCACGAGTCCATCCCGTACTCATACTACATGCAGATTCAGAGAACCAAGATGCATAACAGACATCTCCATCATCAGTCACAGCTGAAGCAAGTGTGTACAATATTTACATGCATGTTGATAAACTGAAATGGCCCGGTACGTACCAGAATCCAGAGGAAGTAGATGATCTGGAAGCCATTCTGCAGAGACAGAGCATGAATGCAGAGCAAGGACAGACAGACAATCTAGTTCAGTTGAGACTTGAGACTGACTGACTGACAGACTGAGCACATTGCAAATGAAGGCAGAGCAATGGAAGACAGACGGACCTGGAAGAGTGTGAAGTGGATGAGGAAGAGCACGAAGGTTGGTTTCGAGAACCAGAAGTAGGAGTCGCTGACTTGCACGAGCGGGATGCCCTGGACCACGGCGTGCCGCTCCGTGATGTCGATGGCCATGCGGCAGATGATGCCCTGCAGCTTCGTCCCCACGGACAGGATGATCACCACTGGCATGATGGATATCCAGAGCATGGTGTGCCATCCTGCACATTGCATGGATGGAGGATTATATTATAGTGGAGCAACCAGAGCAAATTATATATATAATAATGCATGCATCAACATGAACATGCTAGGATAGGATGATAGAAGATGGATCGAGCAGCTAGCTCACCATTGACATTTAGGAAGAGGAAGATGAGAGCAGAAGCCCAGAGGGGAGGACTGATCCCCACGATCACCTTGAAGTCGTCCTCCAGTGACCGCTTGATGTACTTCTGGAAATCAAACTTGCTACCAGGGGCAAGATGCACCTGCATACCAACCACCACGTACATAACATTATATATAGCTGAATGATTGAATGAATGAACAAGTTGTTGGTGACATACGTTGACAAAGCTGTGGCGCAGCGCGGAGTAGTCTGCCTGCCTCACGGATCTGAAGAACTGCCGGAAGAAGTTGCTCTGCCGGAAGACAATTGTCAGTCAGTCAGTCAGTCAGTCTGTCTGTCTGTCTGTACCAATTCATCTCAGGCCTCAAAATTCCAAGTTTTTTCACTCTCTCTCCATCACATCAATTTTTAGCCGTTTGCATGGAGCATTAAATGTAGGTAAAAAAATAACTAATTGCACAGTTTAGTTGGAAATCACGAGATGAATCTTTTGAGCTTAGTTGGTCCACGATTGGACAATATTTACCAAATAAGACGAAAGTGCTACTATTCATCGGGTTGAAATTTTTTGCAACCTAAACATGGCCTCATTTCGTTTCAGAAAGTTACTGTACTGTATATATGTTAATCATCTTACAATGTAGAAGGATGCTGGGAACTTGTTGAGCACATTCATATGGTTCCTCACGAAGGAAGTCTCGTGGGTGAACCTGAACCGCGTCGGGTCTGCACGTGTATATATATATATAAATGTAAGTTGACAGTTTAATATAAATACAAATTCGATCAGCAGAACAACCCAAGATACTATACAGGAGTATGTAATGTACCATTGGAGAACTCGTAGTCTTGGCCTGCAGCTTCTTTCTCCCACACTTTCCATGCACGTATCTGCATGCTTCAAATTTAAAGAGATGCATGGAGCGAGCAATCATATATGAGATAGATATATCATCCTTATTAGCTTCTTCATTCCAATGCAAACAAAGAAATCAAAATTGACCTTGGCCCTGCCGAGCGCCATGGTGATGGCACTGTAGGAGACGTGGAAGACGGCGAGGAAGAAGATGAAGATGTGCAGCTGGTGCAGGCCGTTGATGGAGATGAGTGACACCTTCCCCTCGGGGCACTTGGTCTTCATGTTCGCCTCCCCCAGCATCCTCGCGTTGTGCGCGTAGTAGGGCGGCGGCCAGTCCAGCACGCCGCCGAGGTGCTCGGCGGCGGCGGCGGCCTCCTTCTTGCCAGGGACGGCGGCCTCCTCCTTGCCGTGCCCCTTATTACCCCCGGCCTCCGCAGGCTCCTTGCCGTGGCCGGCGGCGGCGGCCTCGACGGCCTTGAGCTTGCAGGGGAGCATGGTGTTGGCGGCGTGGTTGCTGATGCAGATCTTGATGATGTAGTTCTGGCCGAACACGAGCAGGAGGGAGATGAAGCCCAGCACCATGAGCTCCGCCTTCACCTTCTCCAGGGCCTCCACCATGGCCTTCTTCTTGCGGTGGGAGAAGAACTCGCCCACGTGGTGGAGACCCTTCTCCAGCAGGATGGAGATGATCACGATCACGCCGCACACCGACGCCACCGCCCATGTCGGCGTCTGGTCCAGCTCCCGCGTGTTGCCGCCGCCGCCGCCGCCCCCCATTGTTGTTACTCCTTATCCTATCGATCGATTGATTATTGGATTGAGATCGAATCGACGATCACCTGGCCGGCCTAGCTAGCTACCTGGAGGGATGAAGGATCCGGCCGGGGAGATGGACGACGGACGGACGCTCCACGCCGGGATCGGAGAAGAGAGGATGTCGTACTCGATCGAGGAAGGAGGGACGCCCGGCATGCAAGAATTCCCTCTACTTGGGGGTGACCACGAATGCCTAGCAATCCCAGCTTCCACTGCAAGCGACCTACACGGACCTGAGTACTACGGAAAGTCCCATCCATTTCCAAGCAGAGGCCGCGCGCAAACTCCGGACCTTCCTCCACCTAGCATGCAGATGCAGGTCCAACTCAATTCTCTCCGATTTCCGGGCTTCTTCACACACTACTGATTGATTCAAAACTTCCTGTCGTCACCTTAACCATTTGTAGCGGCTATCTTGTATCATTTACTTTATTATTACATCAGGTCTCATCTCTTTAATTAGAGCCCGTTTGCTAGTCTCCGAAGCTGTTCGGAGTTTCTTTTTCTTTTTCAAACTGATGTTTTTTGAACAGTTTTTTTTGGAGCAAAAAAAACCCGGCTTTTCCTAGCCCCTCCCGCTCTAGTGGACGCTAGTATGGCCATTGTCGGATTTACCCCCTGGCCAGCGCGGAGAGAGACGTCAGCGTAAGCCCAAATGCCGGGGAGGCGGGCACGACCATCGGGAGATGGACGAGGGAGGTGTTGAGAAAGAGAGAAGGAAAGAAGGGAGACAAATAGGAGAGGAGGAGATGAAAATATAAGGACATTATGGACATTTCATCATTTCTATCTATACTATGAAATTGTTTTACAAAATGTTCACCAAAAAAGTTTTAGCTCCACCAGTGAGTTACTCGTGGAGCTGAAGTAAAATATTTTGTTCCACCAGTGAAGTAGAGATGTACCAAAAAGTACCTTAATTTTAACAAAAAAAAACACGTCTACTCAAGCCACATTTACCGATCCTCATGGATATGGTCTTAAAATGGCCAAACTGACATTGTTTCTATGATGAAGTAAGTGTACACCAACTTATTGAGCTAAAATATTCTGGTCAGTCAATTATAGGACCACGACCTCACCTCCACAATGTTTTCTGCCTATGCCTACGAGACTATTTTTTTCCTTAGCTTTGACACTGACTCCTCCTGTCACCCACCACCCATTGTCGTCATCTTCTTCCACTCTTCGTGACCTCATATTTATCTCAGACATAGCCACCTTGCAGGGGCGAATCCAAGATGGGGCTACAGCCCCCTACCCCAGGTTGCCCATAGATCCCCCTTAAGGCCCTCCTAATTTTTCTAGCCATGGATAAAGATGAGGAAGGAGAAAGGAGAGAGGAGAGAAATATGAGAGGGAGGAAGAACAAAGGGGAAGATGAGTCCCTCCCACAAGTCACCGACTCCACCCCCGCCGGCTTGGCATTCTTATTATACTCAGTTTCTCATACCCCAATCAACAGTCTAGGTCGCCTTACTGTGTCCAAATCTTGCCACCATTATTGAGGTCGATCATATTCTTGTCTCCTACTACCCTAATGGATCTCTGCCAAGAGAGACACCAAGGGTTGTTAGGATCATTTGCCGGCCGTTGTTTTGTCTTGCCGAGCTAGAAAGAATAGAGGGACATATTATAGTGCCTGCGCGTGCAAGGTTTTTCCATAGGTGTGTGAATTTCACTCACTTGGGCTTGATACAGAAGCAAGGCGCGCAAGCCAACAAAGGAACCCCGTCCCTGTTCTGGCCTCCTAGGAAACAACAGTAGTATGGTCAAGGGGCACCTATGACCATGGGGAGGCGCGGATGGGATGCCTCGCGCACGCCTGAGCAGGGAGGCCACGCCCACTGCCGATTAGGGAATTAATGTTCTCCCCTAGAATCGATGTGCCAAACAATAAGCTTTTTTTCCCCCTGAGATTCGTATGGAAGCTAGTTGTGGGAGAAAGCTAGTTTTAATTCAAAATGTAGTTGAAATAAATTTATCTCAGATAGAGCCAAAGAAAAAGCAATATAGACGGTTCACCCATTTTACACACAAATTTTGGGGAAGATGTATAGGAATTCGGTAATTTATCTCTGACCTTTTGCGAGGAGCCCAAGCATTCACGAGTTTTCAAGGCCCAGCCCAACTATTTACCAGGTCCGGTCCATATGCAAAGCCCACCAAGGCCCATGTCGTACCACTCAGCACGTGCGGCGTGCGGGCGGGAGGAGCGCGTGTGGGTTGCCCGTGAACGGCGGAACCTCCGCGCCGCCGCTCACCGGAGTCCCACCACGAACACGAAGCCCAAACCGCCGCTGCGCCTCCGCGATCGCACTACTCCGCCGCAGCCTCCTCGCCGCCATTCGAGGGAGGCGACTGCGGCGATCGGCCTCGCCACCCCCGCGCTCCACGCCGCCGCGCGCTTTCGCCGACGACGGGCGTACCGTCTGCGTTGGGTACCTCCTCCACGGGGCGCGTCTTGCTGGATGGACCCATGGAATCGAGGTCGGTTTCCTACCCTATCTCGCAGTTCGTCTCCCTCGAATGCCTCTTCTCGCAGCTAGCTACTGACTGTTGACGGATTCGTTGCTATAGTTGGAGTCGCAAGGGGAGCACAATCCACTATCAATTTCAGTTTGATCCCGCAAGTATAACCGGAATGGCCTCTCCGTGCCACATGGTCTGTTTGCTGCAAACCAAACTTCTAATAAGCTTCCTACGATATACATTTACCATAGGCATTTACAGTTTTCGCCCAAATTTGGGATGAGAAAAAGAAAACAGTATACATGTTGGTTCTTTCCTGGAGACACATATATGCTCCTAATTAATAAGAGACATACATGCGAATATAATTATTGAGGACCAATACTAGGGTACCCGAAGACAAAGAGCTAATAACTATCAACGTTGATTCATCCGAGCGGTCAAGAGCGCGACTACAACTCTTGCCGACCCCCGAGGGCTGGCTCCGCCTCGCCCGATCTCTGAGAGCAGGACTCCGCCTCGCCCGACACCAAGGCCGCGGGCTCCGCCTTGCCCAACACCGAGGCCGCGGGCTCCGCCTCGCTCGACCCCTGGGGGCGGACTCCGCCTCGCCCAACCTCTGGGGGCGGGATCCGCCTCGCCCGACACCGAGGCCGCGGGCTCCGCCTCGTCCGACCCCTGAGGGCGGACTCCGCCTCGCCCGACCTCTGGGGGCGGGATCCGCCTTTCCCGACACTGAGGCAGCGGGCTCCGCCTCGCCCGACCCCTGAGGGTTGGCTCCGTTCCGCCCGACACCAAGGCTGTGGGCTCCACCTCGCCCGACACCTAAGGGCGGACTCCGCCTCGCCCGACCTCTAGGGACGGGCTCCGTCTCGCCTGACACCAATGCCACGGGCTCCACCTCGCCAGACCCCTGAGGGCGGACTCCGCCTCGACCGACCTCTTGGGACGGGCTCCGTCTCGCCCGACATCAAGGCCGCGGGCTCCGCCTCGCCCGGCCTCTGGGGAGGAACTCCGCCTCGCCCGACCCCGAGGCCGAAGGCTTCGTCTCGCCCGACGGAGACCCATACCGCCGTCAGCCACTCCAGATCCAAGTGTATGGGCCTGGGTGAAAGCTCTGACACCAGAGAAGAGACTGGCACGCCTCGATGTAGCCCGCGACCCACGATGGGCCATACCTGGGGGTTCACGTCAGGAACAGCATCGGGCGTACCGGTGTTGTTTTGCCTAACCCCCGTACGAACACTAACGGGCGCGTCAGTTCACTACGACGTCCGCCAAGACGGAGTGGAGCGCCATGACCGGCAGACGACGCCTGCACATGGCGCTAGTGACGGACAGGGCCGCAACAAGAAGCTGTCCCTGTTGACGTTTACAGGGTCGGCGGGACCCGCATAAAGGAGAAGAAAGACCCGGCGATCCTAAAGGACTTCTTCCTCTCGTTCTCTTCTCTTTCTCCACTGTAATCCGTGCTCTCCCTTGACCTATAAAATGGAAAGTAGGGCGTGCCACAAGGGACATCCAGACTCGACTCGACTCAACTTGAATCGATCGGAACTCATCGCAACACACCACCAAAGACTTGGGACATGTCCCTCTCTCGACCGTTTGTAACCCCTACTACGAACTTTCTGTGCTAGTAACACGAGTAGTAGCAACGAACTGGACGTAGGGACATTCTGTCCGAACCAGTATAAACCCCGTGTCCTCTTAGCACACTATCCGGGCCAGACGCGCAATATTAGAAATTTACTAGTTGGTGGCAATTCGAAACACCGACAATAATGTTCCACATCCATCTAGGTTGGCTGTGCTGCTTTAATCTGTGCTGTACCTGATCCCAACCATTCATATGATACCCCACCAATTCACCAGGTTGTCTATTTTCATCAGGCCTGATGTCATGACATTGCCCTATTTAATTTCTATCTAGTCTAACCTGAACCCCTTTTCTTGCGGCTAGGTCTGGGTATTTCTCAATGAACACGGCAGCAGTAGCGATTTCCCATATGCTACAGGAAGTGCTAGCAATTTTTTCCCTTTACCAACATAGGCCCTCTTTGTGAAGTTGTTGTAGTCGTTCGCTTCAATCTCATCCAGAATTTGCCTGTACAGCAACAGGGAAGCCCATACCTGCAATGGAACAAGGAAGTCCATTTTACTTGCTGATAAAAAAGAAGCGAGGATGCTGTACTGCTGGGCAGTGTGAAGTACTGAAGTCATTGGACTTACTGGCCATCTGCTAGCCTGTGAGAGCTCAGTTACCCCTCTCTCTGCCTCCTCAAAAAACATCCTGGCCCTCTTGATCTGCCTCTTCATGAAGTTTCTCCATCGGTTTGTGACGACCCCTTTGAAGATGTCCTCATCAGAGAGCCCTGCCTGTGCGAGCTCATCTTGTGGTAAATATATCCTTCCTCTTGTAGCACTAAATGACATGATGACCACAGTGGAGATGGTTACAGCTGTGCTATTTTAACAAGTTCGTGCCTGTTGCAGGAAGAATCTGTGGGAAAATAGTTACTTACTCCTCTCCAACATCCCGGAGTATGTTCGTGAGTTGGTTAGCGATTCCGAGAGCCAAGGCAGCACTATACACACTTTCAGTTGTTGCCTTAGACTCGGGTGCGATGCCCATCACAGGTACGCTCATTAACCCGACAGTTCCAGCAACATAGTAGCAGTACATGTAGAGCTCGTCGAAGTTTTTATACCTTGTCTTCCTAAGGTCACTCCTCATCCCTTCAATCATGTCCCTGAATGGCTGGCACAAGATTTACTGATTTTAGAATGTTGGTATGTGCAACATAATTTGTCAAACCACTAAGTACCACAGATAGTTTTCTCTTAGCCACTTTCCCAGGTCTTATTTTTAGTTGCTTGGACTGTTTTTTCTCTGAATCTTTTCCTTCTCAATGATTATCTAGATCCTAGCAATTTTCACATTAAAAGGTCAGACAAACTAATTAATTCACATTACCAAGACCATGTAATAAATCCGAATTATTGCCTCTCGCTTCAAGTTTTGCTGTGAGGACTGGGCTCTAGAAATAATTCACTTTTTTTAAAAAAAAAAAGAACAGTTAAATTCGGAACAACTTTGACCCAAACACATCTCCTGATCCATATAACCGGACTAGGCCCACTATGATATGTGCAAGGTTCATTGAACCTAACAAAAGCATTAGAGACTAAAGGCTGAAAAAACCTTTACGGTTTAGTTGAGTAAGCAAAACAATCTCTGCTTATTGTCAACGCAGTAGGTCTAGTCATCTTGCACTAAAACAGTGAGGCCTAGAGAATCTAATGCTAATTAGAAATAGCAATAACTGTAGTCCAAAATTGGCATATCAGTTGAATCCGCTAGATACAGCAGCTAGTACCTGAATGTCTATGGGGAACTTTGAGATGGTATCAGAGAGAGCGGCATCAAGCATATCATAAGGACGTCCCGCGAACAGATCCTCAAGTCTCTTCTCCCACCGGTCCAAAGCTGTCGGCGTAATGTAGTTGGCGTTTGGCCCATCTACAAGCTCATCTGTCCTCCTACACCACACTGCAGAAACACTACTCGTCAGATACTGTGCCTGAAGTTGTTCATTTAAAATTGCCAATACATCAGATTCATATTCCAGGTAGTTTGAACTACGAAGAACATGTCCTTATAACTTTCCACATGGTCTTAAAGTATTTGATCAAGCCATTTAGTAGCATTTTAGGCGGGCAACATATCAGGTGCAAACCAACCAACCTGTGCAAGCTCGAAAACTACCAATCAGGACCACTAGATGCTAATCCAATGGATGGGGTGAGAGGGCTTAAACGCAAAAAAAAAGGCCGGTGGGGGGGGGGGCTTAAGCGCAAAAAATCCCACCTCTCACCCCATCCATTGGATTAGTATCTAGTGATCATGATCTGTAATTTCCAAGTTTACACAGGTTGGTTGGTTTGCACCTGATACGTTGCCTTTTAGGCTACCTAAAACTTATTTTGGTGCTTCCACATACACATATATTGCCATAAGAAAGTGCACTACACCTTTATTCACCATTGACTCACAAATACCCTGCATGGAAGTCAACAGTGTTTCTTTTTTTAAGACTAGTTCAGAGGTCCCTTTTCAATATTATATTAATTTCCACTGAGAGCTAGTTGATACCATTACTTGAAAGGTAGCCCAATTTTCATTGTGATTGTTGCAGTCTGCTGTTAAACAGCCTGTTCGGGAGGCCGTATCGTATCGTGGATTATTTACTGCTGGCTGGTTTGGTATGAGAGAAAAACACTGTTCCCAGCTGAAAATTTACGATCGTTTACAAGCAAGCGAACAGACTGTTTAAGTCATTTTTTTTTACCACAGCAGCACAAGTCACAAGTGCTTGTATATCTAAGATAATATATTAAGGGAAACATACTAGCTATTACAGTGCCTCCGGTTCCAGGAATATATAGCCATTCTGAAATTTACTGATTGATACGTACATACTACTAGGTATAAGCAATGGAACAGGAGGGATACATGGTGATTATTATTGTTGAGACTTGAGACAGATACCATAGATGGCCCATATGGCGCGGCGCCGCTCCTCTGTCATCAACATAGTTCCTGCCACGAACAGACATGAAGGAAGACTGAAATGATGAGACGAAGATTGATGACCTTTTCATGGAATTGTGGATTGAGAGGAAAGATATATACCGAGGTAAAAGGTCTTGGCATACTCCTCACAGATCTCGCCGCAGCGGTCGTAGGCTTCCTTGAGCCCGTTGCGCGGCATCTCCAGGTCCTGGGGCCTGACGTCGAGGACCGGCTTGCGCAGCTGGCGTTTGAGCAATGCCGACTGCTTGAGCACGACGTCGTAGACCTTCTGCTCGGACGAGACGACGGCCTCTCCCGCCGGGTTGACGGCGAGGATGGAGTACACGGCGGGGGACGAGGCGCGGCCGACCTCCCACGGGTCGAGGCCAAGGCACCCGTACCTGAGCGAGCAGAGCATCCACCGCCGGGCTAGCTTCTTCTTGAGCAGAGGCAGAGAGGAGCACTGGAGACTCCCATGGTGGCTGATGCCGCCGATGTCCCGCACGGCGGCGTCGGAGAGCCCCGGAGACGCTGCTCGTACGAGTATGATGGCCATATATTTGCTATCTTATCCTGAAGACGATGATGGGATGAGACGAGACCAATCAGCAGAACAGCGAGGAACAACTCCGGCCTCTCCTGCAAGATGGAGGTATGTCATGTGTGAGGAACTGACAAGTCATCACTCTAGGATGACTGGACTGCAAAGGGGAGGGAAAAAGGGGTTCTTGCAGTTGCAGACGCGCACGCTTGGTGCTGGCCGCACTATCGGCCAGTGGTTCGCCTCGCCGTGTCCGTGTGCGTCTGCTGCACACACACACAGCACTCTCTCTCTCTCTCTCTCTCTCTCCGGCTACAGCCTGCTAGCATACATGTATGCTATGAGTCACGCTCAAGCACAGACGGAGGAGCAAAACAGAAAGGTTCCACTGCAACGTCGAATGTACTGGCCACTCACCTCTTATCAACACCACTCGCTTTGCTTAGTTCCTGCTCCTGCTGCTCCAATGGGGATCTGGGATTTCGCATATGCTAATACTTGTGTGTCTTGTTCATGTGATGGAAGTAGGGACTGTTTGTTGCTGTTGTGTGCAGCTAGTGCGCTGTGGAAAAGGAGAGGGAAGAAAAGAGGAAGGGAGAGACGTGGAGAGAAGAAGGGCCAGCCAAGCCAAACCAAGCCAGCGACCAGCCGCCCAGCCAAGAGGAAGGGAAGGGAAGGGAAGGGAGGGACGGAAGGGAAGGGAGGGAGGTGTGTGTGGGGTGCGGATAGATAAGCTTATCGCCAAGCTCACATGGTGATGCCTCTGCTCCTGTGTGTGCGTACATCGGAGGCCGCTGAGTGGTGACACCTGGAAAAAGCCCGGATTCACCCTGGCTGCACCTTTCCGACGTGGCTTGGCCTGGTGGCGCGCCCCACCCGCTGACGTGGCAGCCAACTCCTGGCTACTATGCACTGCGTCTACCTCTCGGCTCTGCCCTCTTGTTTGTTTCAGGTAACTAATCATCTGACCAGGCTCCAGTTGCTGTTTATATACCAGTTACGGCTCTGCCTTTTTTGTTAACGGTTTATGTTATCTGATGATGCTGATGGATCAGCACAGTCGTTGTTGTCTGAGTCCCGATGGCTGCCTTTGCTTTACATGTTTTTGTGTAAAGTACGTGTGTGTTACTGCTGCTTGCCTGCTTCCTTTTGGTAATTTTTCCTTTTGTACATCCACAAGCGTTTTCCCCGTAAGGGCGTGTTTGGAACGTAGTTTTTTCATTGGAATTTTGGAGGATTTCATTCCTCTGGAAAGAATACCGGTGACTGCGTTTGGAACATAGGATTGGTAGTTTCCTTTCCTCTAAAATACTGTAGCGGCAACGAGATTTCACAGAAAAATAAACATCTGCTCCCACCTCTGGTTTTTGTTTCCTGCGCTGAAGCCCAAGGCAGCCATGCCATTCAACTCATCTGAGTGGAGTAGATTAGTTATTTGTAGCCTGTACAGTAGGAACCGTGGAGGTTAGATATAGTAATTAGTACCCATATTTGCCTAACATGTTACAATTCTTATATTATAAATTCATGTATTCCAAACAGCATAAATTTTCTGTTCCTGTGTTTTAAAATCCCGTAATTTTTTACTTTTCATCATATCTTATTCCTGTATTTTTTCTAATTCCTACGTTTTGGATATCTTCGTTCAAACAGGCCCTAGCTGTATGCGCAAAGCAGGTTAGGCTAGGTATTACTGGACGCAAGTGCACGTGATAAGCTCAACTTCAGTCCCGTCCCGTACCTAACATCCAGCGAGCATTATTTCATCGTACCCATAATACATGTGTTGACACAAAAAATGTGGCAATGTGATCAACACGCATCAAGCCGAAAGAATTTACTTGATAGAGCAAGGCTGGAGATCCGCTTGGCTTCAAACACAGAACCGGTTGGCTTCGAGGCCAGAAACGTGCCAGTCAATTTGACCCTGCAATTGACAAGGAGAAGATAATCAATAGTTTAAGATGAAACATGTCGGTGTTGCACCAGACAGTTCCAAATATACGGCTTTGAAAGGCAATAAATAAGGCCATCGACTAAATAGTCGATATCCAGCATATCCATGAAAGGAAGATCTTTAAATCAAGGATGATCGGCTAATATTAAATAATAATGACGTGAATCAAAATGACCGATGCTCATGGATCATGGCAGATTCATGGTGACTGATTAATTGAGATAAAAACAAGTACAATACACCCAATTATAATGATCAATGATTTTATCTTTGAAAGCACAAGCTATCGGCTAAACAGCCGATTCAGATTAAAAGGGAGATTATAACATGTATGCAATCAACTATCTAATAAGAATGAATTTATAAACAAACTAGATCTAATCTATTACCATCATCAGTCCGGTTCGACTCGATCGATGCAGCTATGGCAACGATAATAAACTAAAACTAAAAAGCTTATAGATCTACCCATATTTTCGACAGTTTCATGGTCCAAGCTATGGATGTGAAAGCATATGCAATCGGCTAAAATAGCCGATTTTATAGTAAACAAATAAAGCACATGTCTTAACCATAAACAAACTCACTAATTAATAAATCACAATCTAAAGTTCCACTAGTGAGGTTCGACCGGATCGATTCGGCTATGGTAATAATGATAAATCGAACTTTATCAATTAATGAATCTATCTAAAATTAATTCATACCTTTGAAAGCATACTATGTATGATTCAGATCGAGATAAAACAGTAGATCTTAACAGAACGAATCATCAAATTTAAGATCTGATGGTGCAAAGCCAAAAGACGACCAATTGATATGATATGATGCCGATCTATCTCGATCTTAACCGGATAAATTGTGATATTATTATAGCTAACGAAACATTAATTATAATAAGATCGATAACTAGGTGAATTGACCGAAAACAGTAAGAAGAATCTTACTAATCTTAGTCAAATTCGGTAACTAGTGACCTTGCAATTAATACAAGATCGATAACTTTGATCAATATCACTATCTATAAGAGATCAATCGGATGATGCAACCTCTCAAACAATGATACGAATCGATAACTAACTTATATTATAATTCGCAAGAGATTAAACGGCTGATGCAGCCTTACAAATGAAATACAAGTCGTGACGGTACTCATAGACATGTCGGAGGTCGATTAGCCGAGCCTTGCTTGTTGAAGAACTCATCGAGATCTACGTTACTCCTACTCCTAAGGATTGACGTGAAGCTGAAAAAGTAAAGACTGATTTTGATTGATGTGTGGATGTCCATTACAATGACCGGGAGTTTATATTTATACCATAGGCTAAAGACTCGTACAAACTTGCCTAATAATAAATATCTAAACAAATACTGAGATACATGGACTCTAATCTCCTTCACGTGGAGTCCTTGCTGACGTGCGTGTCCTTGCTTGTTAAGCAAATGGAATATAATAGTCCTAATCTTCCACAACCATGTCTACAAAGCCCTTGTACTTGCCTTCCGTGTGCTTCCATATTTCTTTAATATCTGATCCTGTATGCATGTGATTTATTTTGCCATATACATATACGAACATGCCATATAGCCGGCCTCGTACATGCATGTACATGATACGTGTCCTTTTTCCTTTACCGTTGACGTCATGCTTATCCCAAATAAAATAATATTTCTTTTCCTCCGTGCACAGACTCCATCGCTAGCGGCATATATCCATATATCAAATCAACCGAATAAACATGGCCAAATATGTTAATTGGCCGTACGTGCACGAGCACTTCCAATACTTGATCACGCAAGCCTGGTGTTACGGGCGCATGCATGTCTCCTTTAGCTTCCTTGCCTTTTTACTTATCTTCACGTGAGCAAATCTTGAAAATCATGCTTGTCCCAAAATATATTAAATAATATTTTTTGGCCGATCAGCAAATATCCCTTAATTAGAAGATTTTTCTATCTTTGACACCATCAGCCGTTGATCACGCAAGCCTGGTGTTACGTGTGCATGCATGTCTCCTTGCCTCCTCTAGCTTCCTTGCCTTTTTACTTACCTTCACATGAGCAAATCTTGAATATCATGCTTCTCTAAAATATATTAAATAATATTTCTTGACCGATTCGTAAATATCTCTTAATTAGAAGATTTTTCTGTCTTTGACACAATCGGCCGATTTTTTCCTTTCTAAGCAAGGCTTGCCAAATTTTAGTGTCAACATAGGTCCCCTAGTCCAGAGTATAAATTTTTTATGCTTCAGACTATTTCGGTCCGAACATTTTCCTTTCCTGAGCCGATGTCACCTGATTGCAATATAGAAGACTACATCGGCTCCGTATTAATAAAGCTGTACGCTCGGACATGTCTTGTTGCTTAAGACCATCAATTCCCTTTCCTTGATCAGTGCGCCCCGAATTGCATGACTTTCACATCCATGATGACCTCTCATGTATTTTTTTATCGGCTATTTCTACATCTGAAGCCGACTTCATACGCGCTTCATTTACTGCTCGGAACGGATCTAATGCTGAGGCCTCAACAATGAGCACAACGGCCGTCTCATTATCAATAATAGGAGCTAGTTTCGTCGGCTTTTATAGATGTCGCACCATCATTGTTACCACAACATGTACTTCAGCCTAATAATACACGTATACCTCATGATCTGCAAGTGTTGTTGAGCGGTCAACTTAATTTCCTAATCTGCTAGCATGACTTCGATTGCACCGAGGCAGGGAAATTATTTCTTCTTTGCTGATCCTAGCCACATTAATTTCCTGAGTCCGAAGAAATATCACCTTGCTTTGCTTGGTATAAGACCAAAATTCTTCAACTCAACACGATGCACCTGGACTTGCTGACACATGCACGTAGAGCCTCCTATTTTTAGTCAGCCGATGATCTTCTTCTAATTTGATTTCCATGGAGCCGATGAATTTGCTGGCAACAATAATACCTTATTCGAAGCCTCACCTACACATGTGAACTTTGAAGTGTCTATCACACCATCTTGGATAGTTGAGGAACGGAATGGATTAGAATCCAGTCATCTGCACTTCTCTT